ATTCCTCTCTTTACTCTTGTCTCTCTTTGCGATCTTGTCCTTATCCTTTCTTCTTCCTGATGTTCCGTTTCCAATCTTTCACTTCCTGATCATGTTCCTTTTCTTCCAGTTGTTGCTCCTCTTGTCTTTTACTCTCTTTCTTCTCTACTATCTTGTTCTTCATCAGACGCTAGATAATGTTTATAGAATTGTTGTGCCTTGTCAAGTGTATCAATTCGGGGGGGAAATTTCTTGCCAGGAAATCAGCATGCCTTCTGGTAACAGCCACCTGAACAGTATCCTATTTTTAATTAATTGTGATGATAAAAAGTTGTAGTTCCTTCTTTGTTCTCTCATCCTTCTAGGAACCTGCTTTAATGTCACTATTTCTTTCCCCTTGTTCTTCATCTCTTGTTGTTGCATACACTTCACCTCTGTTTTTCTTGTAAACCTTACGTGTACCTCCCTCGGTAGTTTGTGTCTCCATGCATAGTTGGTAAATATTCTGTACGTTTCATCTATATTGTTTCTCATTTCTTGTTTGGTCTTCTGTAAGGCATTAGTCAACAACTCTGTCATGAGGTTAGGGTGATCTTCCTCCTTACTTTCTATAATATTTTGAAACCTCAAGAGAAATGCTGAACTTTCCATTTTGAGATGCTTCTTCAAGATCACTCTTTGCTACCATTAAATTTTGTTCTGTTGTTTCAAGCTTCTTTTCAATTTAGTCTGTCCTGACTACCACCATTTTTATTTTCTGTTCGTTCCTGGCCATCGCTTCCTGTTTAGTTCCTATCTTATTGTCTAATTTACGTATGTCTCATTTCACCTCACCCATCTCACTTTTTATTTCTTCGTGATTTTTTGATATCGATTCTTGTGTTTTCATCATCATTTCCTGTAGCATGTTGCAGACTCGATGCCGATCCTGATTTTTCACTACCTAATATACTCTGGACCTTTATCCAGATGGGGAAGTCAGCATTGATGTTGTCTTCTTTTCTGTCTTGGTGATCATTGTTGTGGTTGTCATTTTCAGAACTGTGAATAGCTGACTCCAAAATACTATATATCCCTAGCTTGTCTAGACTTATATTATATCCGTTGTCAAGTAATAACAAACAACATACGATATGCAGTATATTCTCTTATGAAGCACCTCTAGCTATGTAGCTATTGTGGTACCCTCTGTAGTATATTAAAATTATAATAACTATAATTAATTAGCTATACGTTATTCCTCCACTTCTAAATATTAATATCAATAACTATCTTAAACTAGTAACTAGTTAAACTAGTTACTTTTGTCCAAACAATACAATACAATAAATAAATAAAGATTTAATAATATAATAAACGACTAACTAGATATATTCTACTATATAATATAATCTATAGTTGATAGGTTATTATGATAGATTTAGTAATACAATAAATAAATAACTAGATATATTCTACCATATATTATGATCTACAGTTGATAAATTATTAATACTTAATATAATAAAGATGTTAATCCATTGTTAATTAATTATTATCTTTAATTAATAATATCAAATTTATCAATAGTACAATAATCCAGCAACTTAAAATATTAAATAATATCTATCAGTTACACCATATTAATACACAATCTTATCAGTTATGGAAAGTTTTAAATTCATAAAGGAAGAAAAAGAAAGAAAAAGAAAAAGTGGAGTATGAGATAATACAAATATATCTCCTGTAAGTTCTATATACTGTATATAATTTATCTTTTATACCATCAATTACAGTACCTTTTACCTTCTTTCTTTTTAAAAAAGTTTTTTATTTTTTAACTATTTAAATACATTTTTGTGAGAACGGTGTGGTTATAGGTATTTTACATTTTAAATCAATCATATCCATAATCACAAATACAACTTATTCTCTATCTTCCTTAATTATATAGTCAATATGTTTATATTTTAATCATTCATATCATTTCATTAACCATTCAAAATTTCATCTTAATTTATAGTTATCCATTATTAACACAAACAGCACAAAGAAACAGAATAAGCCTAGCACAAAAATGAGGTATAGGAATGCTTATTATAGTGCAGAAACGTGAAGGGGAAATTACGTTCAATAGTTTGCTTTGCTTTGCTTATGCTTAGCAAAGCACAGTATGTTTGTGAAATGGGGTGAAGAAATGATTTTAGAACTAGAAATAGCAAAGCCATGATGATGATGATGATGATGATGATGATGATGATGATGATGATGAT